ATATAGTTTTGGAATGTCATCCATACATTCGTACATTAAAAATGTTCTTATTTATAGAAAAAATATATAAGACAAGAAAAATTATACATATATACATATTCCATATAATCGAAAAAGCGTCAGATTAAAATTGTTTAGCAGTATATAAAAATCATTACAATATAACTACCTGATTATTAGACAACAATATTTAGTTATTTAACAATATGAACTTTGCACACATTAAGACAGTGTATGTCGATGTATGTAGATATATGTCTATTCAATTCCTTTTCAATTAGCTACCTCATCATGAATTTCTCTTTTTTTCAGAATTCATATTCCGAAGAGAGATAACTCGGATTTAGATAACGGATTGGCGAAAATGCTTTTCATTGTATATAAAGCTTCGTGTACCTCAAATTCAAAATATCAAAAATGTTATTTTCTCCTTGTCATTTCAGAAACTATAACAAATATTTATAAATATCGATTTCTTAACTTTGAAAGAAAGCTTTTCATCACCTCATTTCAGAGGGTATTACGTAAGTATAAGTTCGTATTTTCAGGTTTTGCGTAAGTCATACATATGACTAGTATACAATGCCTGGAAATGAAGACGTTTTATATGATGTCACTGAACTGTGACGCAAGTTTTATACTGGCGACTCGTCCCCAGAACACGGATACTCCTTCGAGGCAGGAAACAATCAAGTTGCGATGACGCAGTTTTCCGACTTTTTCTTCCATATTCTGCTGACTGTAGCAATGCCAGCATTTCAAGCACGAATAACATGGCGGAATTTTCCACTGCACGCGAGGGAATATCGAGGAATATGCTTTGATAGTTCATCATTATTAATAATCATGTTCCGTAATATTAGGATAAGATTTCCTGTTGTTTTTTCTAGCAAATCATTCTGATAAACATTTCCCCCGGGCCACTCCATAGTAGATCATGGTTCACACTGTCTCTCTTCCCTTATTTACGAGACATACTGCCATTATAACATTTTCTTACGCTTATCTTGTTACAGCTGTTATGGCAGCGGTTTAGTGAAAACTCTCTTACAGACACTCTCAGGCATTTATGTTTTATATGCGTATGTGTGTGTATGCATGCATGTATGTATGTATATATGTATAACGCTGGTCTAAAACTCGGCCAAGCTTTCCTCATCAAATGTACTGCAAGTATATGGATATCTATGAATTATGGTACAAATGACAAAATATTGGGAGAAAGCGCTCCGCTCGTCCCTGATTTCTTGTTGCCACCGCGTCGCCCGAGCAAAGGTGACTGACATGAATTTCTACTAAAAGGGGAAACGGGGATTTCCAGAATCATTGTCGGACGCACCAGATCTACATTCCTAACCATCACTTTCGTTTAGTTATGCAAATCATGATCATCGCTGTTAATATTATTACTAACAGGAAGATGACAGCTGTAAATGAAACAGAACGAAGAACTTATTACATATTTATTGTATAACAACTTCAGCAATCCAGTCCATGAACTGGAACAAGTCAACATAGACCCCCGGAAAATCTGGGCGCCCACAGCCTCGCCCGAAACTGACGATGCCCGCGAGTACCCACCGGGAGTCCCCGTCCTGAGTCATGAGAGGCCCGCCCGAGTCGCCGTGGCAGGAGTCACGCCCACCGCCGTTCACGCCCGCACACAACATGCTGTGCGTTAGCGACGCGCCATAACCGGCACAGACATCCTTGTCCTGAATCTCGACTTCAACCTGACGAAGGGTCTGGCTGAAGTCCCGCGCGTCCTCACGCTCCTTGCCCCAACCGAGCGCCACCGCCGCTCGGCCCGGCGACGCCCTGGCCGACGGCAGGCACACCGGGGCCGCGGCGGCATTGAAGGCCACGGGCTCCGCCAACGTGAGCAGCGCCAGGTCGGAGTCGAACTTGGCGAGGCGGCCGTAGTTTGGGTGTATGCTGACGAGGGACACGCGGACCGTGACCTGCGCGTCGTGGCCGCCCACTCGCACCTGCAGAAAGTGCGGCAGGAGGCGGAAGAAGGACACACAGTGGGCAGCAGTCACCACGTGGCGCCGGGTAATGAAAGCGCCCCCGCAGAAGTGGCTTCCCCACACCATGTTCAGACTCACCACCCACGGCCACTGTTGGGTGGTGGACTCCTCGCCGCCCACGATGCGGGAGCCCACTTGCCGCCCACATTCGGAGGGCCACACAGCGCCGGGCGCATCACGGTCCCAAAGAGGCTTGGTCCAGCCGCAGGGCAGAAGGAACGCCGAAAGGAAGCAGAGAGCGCTGCTGAAACCCATGTTGCTCGAGAGGTGAGTGCTGCCGTCCGCCACTCGCCCCGCCTCATAAGTGGAGGCTCACCTCACGGTGGCTTCGCCGCAACTACCTTCCAGACCTGAGGGACTTCGGACACCGTGTTTGGAGTTCCCTCCTTGCCATCCCTTCGCTGCTGAAAGAAAAACGTTCAGTTGCAAATCAGGATTACTTACCGATCGATATATATATATATATATAT